CATGGACATCATGATCAAGCATGGCAGCCAGAAGGAAGTACGGTGAGTTGTGGCAGGCTGGGAAGGGGCAGAACACACCTGAGTAGTAGTATGAGTAGTAGAACACACCTGAGAGCAGTATGAGGTTGTCTAGGGCTTCCCACAGCACAGCAAAAGAGATTTTTTTTTTTTTTCCCCACAAAACTGGTGTGTGTGAAAGTGCTTATCCTTGCTGGGACTGAGGAGACCCCAAAGAGTTCCATAGGGCAGAGGGGAACTGACTTGTAAGTTGTGGCCTGTATGACAGAAACTAGAGGCATTGCACTGAGGTTCACCTGACCCTCTGCAGGGATTGCCTTGTATCTGAAGGGTGAGATCAATCTTGAATAATCAGTCTGTGTATCTTGTACTGTAAAAATGGAAAAACATCTTTTTTCCATTTCTTTTCCTGAGACGTGACAAAAGAAAGTAATTTTCCACATCCACTTAATGAATCCATGGTCCAGTGCGGTGTCTGGATCTTTGTTTAAGTTGACCAGCAGCCTTAGAGTTCTGCAAGCAACTGGAAGGCCTCTGCTTAGAGATTTTGGCCAGTTGTCAGGAATCTCTTTCTTCAAGCACCAGCATTTTGCAGCAACTTCCCCTGAATGTTTTCCTGGACTTTCTGCTCTTTGTTAAAAGACAGGATACAGGCTTGTATTGAGTGCTGTCGCAAACAGAGTGATTGAATCACTTTGGTTTCTTTCAGAGACATCTTTGAGAGGGTCATACACCTGAGCTTGGCACCAAAGAAGATGAAATTCTTCTTCAAACGCTACCTGGATTATGAGAAGAAATTTGGTACAGAAGAAAGTGTCCTGGCTGTTAAAAGAGCAGCACTTGAGTATGTGGAGACCAAGAGTTCCCTTGCTGATACCTAAGGGTGATGCAAGTGAAAGCAGAGAGACTTGGCTTTCCATGCAGTGTGGGAAATAAGGAGTGTAGAGTTCTGCCTTGACTGTCCATGGACAGTGAGTTTCTGGAGAGTATTACTCTGTGACCAAGCCAGCTTGGAAAGAACAAATGAAAAGATTTGATAAATGTTTGCATCTTTGTCCAGAAGTTGCAAATAATCCTGGTCTGTTGATGACATGTTTTTAAATATAGACTGTTTTATAATCAAAAGAAACATCAGCTGTACCTGTTTTACTTTCCTGGGGAAATGCTACAGTTATGACATGCTGCTTTTAAGTACATTAAAGTCTTACAAATTGATTTTTCTCACTGTTAAGATGGCAGAGAAGATTCTTGTCTTTTGGATGAATTAACACTTCAAAAGATTTACTCAGGTGCCTTTGTGGTCTAGAAATTGGCAGAGCAACACTGGATTGTGGCATAGTTGAAGCTGGAAGAAACCTCTTGATCTTCAAGCTCCTGCTCAAAGCAGGAATCATCAAGACTAGGTTGCTCAGGTACACTCCCAGTTTTGTTTTGATTTCCCCAAGAATGGAGACTTCACAACCTCTCTGGGCAACCATCTGTTGTAACAAGTTGCTAGGGATTGATGACATTAAAAATAGTGATTTTCAGTAATCATTGTCTCTTAAGAGAAATCACTGAAGTCAAAGAAAAAAAGCGTTTTTTTTTTTGTTGAAAAACCCTTCCCATTTTGCCTTTTTTGAAAAAGCCAGGTATTTTGGGTACTTAAAAAAGCTGCCACTGATGTCAGTGCCTTATGGGCCATATCATTACAATTCTGTATTCCTCTAACATTCCACTGAGATGTGGATATGATTAGCCCCATGTTTTACAGAGGAAGAACTTGAGGCAAGGGGAAAACAGGGTATGCAAACAGATGTGATTATCCTGTGTAGACCCTAGTGAGTAGAAGCCCAGTTTTGAAATACCAAGCTTGGAGTGTCTTACTCATTGTAGGTACTCTAAATACAAAACCAGAGCTATGCAGGACCCAGCTCTTCTGCCTCTGTAAATGCCCACTGTTGGCAAGGCTGAATGATTCAGCATTTATTTAATTCCTAAGTCCTTTGGGATCCAGGAACAAGTCATTTCACTTCTTGCCCCCAGGGAGAGCAGAGTGCTCTACTCAGATTTTGCTTAATGATCTTGTTATGGAGGAGGCTGACTGCAACATCCAGGAGCGACTGCTGCTATTTTTAAAGAACACAGCTTCAATGATGGTGGCTCTTTCTTTTGGTTTAATTAGTTGCATAATAAAGCATGTAAATAAGTGCTGCAATAGAAACCAAGATCCCTCAGAGGTATTGTTTCTTCCTCACTACTGGGGCTATTATAGTGTCTGTAGTAGGCAGGAGAAGTGAAAGACCTGTGTGTAATTCTCTGTACTGGAGGAGCCTGGTCTGAACCCATCTTGCTGCTGGGAGCTGTGACCTGTGGGCTGTTCTGTGATGGGATTATTGTTGGTCTTTGGAGGAAAGGTAAGGGGGTGTGAGCTCACAGCTTGTGTGATCCAGCATGCCAGGAAGATGTGTGGCTCAATTTTGCTCTTGGCATTTCAGTGATAAATCTAACCTGTCTGCTTTTGCTTGTGTGTAAAACCATCTGGGTTAATGTTCCTCACCTCAGCATTGTCACTGGGGGACATGGGGTGACAGGAACAACAGGGATATATTCCTGAGGGTGCTGATGTGCCAGGAGAGGCAGAAGCCTAGGGCTCTCTCAGTGGAGGCCACGCTCAGGGTGGCAGAGGAGGAAAACCCAATCTCTGCAATTGCAAACAAATTTCTGAGTGTAATGTCTTGCTCTACTCCTCACTAACAGCTGTCCATTCAAACGTGCCTCTCCAGCAGGAGGGAGGGAAAACAAGTAGCACATCCCAGCACATGGAAAGAGAGGATTTAATATAGGGGAGAAGGGATGTAAACAGAACAAAAGATGGTTTGTGCTCATGGTTTATTCTTAGGATAAAAATCCATTCTCAAGTATTATGTGTCTTGCCCCTTTCCTGCAAAGGAGGGAAGGAGAAGGAACCAGAGTGGAGGTGGTTCAAAGGAATAATTGGGACTATCAAGGAGGAAGGCAAGGGAAATAAAGGAAGTAAGAGGAACTCTGCTTTGTTTCAGCAAGTTAACCTTGTTAACTGGCTGTGTGGGGGTGGCGTGCACATCTGCATGTTCGCAGTCGAGGGCCAGCAAGAAGAAATGCAAATTAACTCTCTTTCATCTCAACTTAATGCAATTTAATTTAACTTCCATCTGATTATTTCTGTGGGCTAGCTGATGGTGAGGCTGAGAGCCAAGCCTTCCCACAAATGCAAAGCAAATCTGTGGAGAAGCTGAAGAGGAATCCTGGGATGCCTCGCCTATTAAACGGTGTTCCAGCCTCTTTATGTGAGGGAATAGCCTGCAGCTGTTCCTTGCAAGACACCATACTTGTCAAAAGCTTTTTAAATAATTTTCTCTCCTTTGCTGCAATTGTGTATCCTGATATACAAGATTTGTGCTACTCACTGCAAGAATAACTAAAAGGCCATGTTACTAACTTGTAATATGTGGTAATGCTTTAAAACATTCTAGGATTATCTGGATAGGAGAGGATTTGAATCTTTAATAGAAAGAAAAAGTAAGTTCCCAGTACTTGAGTTCAAAGAGAATGTTAAATTATGCCTTTTATAGACCCCCTGAAAAAAGCTCAGAAGGCCATGAAAAATAACTCTCATTTAATAATTTATTTCAAATCTCCTTGTGTGTAAGCCCCTCTGAGTTCTATGGGTTTGAGCTGTTTTTTGAACAACTTAAGGCTTTTTGGTAAATGGTACAGTGTAAAAGGAAGTTGTGTCTATAACTAAACAGTTCAAGTAGGAAAACCAAACTCTGTCATACCAGCTCTTTAAACAGTGTTGGGTACACAGGATTGACCCGTGCGAGGAAAGGCACTGCAATGCCAGAGGAGCAGCCTTGAAACCATAGTCACACAGTGGTGTGGTGAGGGTAGTAATTTTACACTTTCTGGTTTTGCTTTCCCAGAGTATGGCCAAGTCCATAAAAGAGACATTGTGCTCCAGGGGCCAATTAAGGCAGTGGAAAGAGTTTTAAAAAATTCAGTGGGAGATGAGTAGGGAGAGGGCTGCTCCCCCATCTTGTTCCTGCTGTCTCCTTGTTGCTCCAGGGCTGCAGTCCCAGTACAGCAGATGGGTGATGGGTGAATGCAATGTGCTCTTTGGGCTGGCAGCTTTCTCATCTCCTTCCCCTCTGTGAAAGATGCTCCATTAATAAACTGACTGATCACAGTTACATGTTATATACACTGTATGTATGTTTATACATATATTTATGTAAAGCTAATTCTGGTTGAGGTCATCCTGAAGCTTGTAACCCAAACAAAGGACTCTAATCCGATGTTTGGATGAGAAATTCAATGAGATACAGACAGTGCTGTGGGTACTGATTCCTCTCAATCTCCACCTTGCTACCTTGCCCCAAAGCTGTTCTGCTAATGGTGCTTCTTCTGGGTTTATAAACACATGGTGGCGACCATTTCAGTTCATTAGAGATTGCCAGGCACATTAGTAAGAACAAAGGGAGTTTGGTGTCTTACCCAAATTTCAACTTGGTAATTAGAGTGCCTTTTAGAATACCAGGAATATTGGTGATTGCTCCTGCTTTAGTCTCTCAGTTATTTGGTGTGTGGCTGTCCCTGCTGTGGGGGAGACAAGTGGGGCTGCAGGAGTCGTAGTGAGAAACGCGCCCATCTCTTGCTCCCCAAGGCTTCTGCTGGTGCATCAGGCAGTGGGCTGCACTGGCAGCCTGGAGGTAAGGGCTGCACCTGCTCTTTGCTCCCCTGTGTCTCTGGGAACAGCAAGTGAGACTGTTGTCTCCGAGGGAGGGGTTCCCCAGCTCAGGGTATTGCTTATCAGTCTCTGCCTTGAGGCTGTTGTTTCCTGTTTACCTGCTCCTAGAAGGTATCCTGCTGGGAGGAATATTCCCACTGCATCTCTCAGCTGAGCGTGGATACTGGAAGGCCTGCCAGGCAGTCTGGAGAAGCACTGCTGGTGGACATTTGTCTTAGGAAGCTAAAAACAGCAGTTCGTGGCCTTCTGGGGTTGGCCCGTTCCCTTCCACCCCTTTGGCCCATTTGTGGAGGCGGCTGTAGAGGGGGAAGCCCTTGTTCTCTCGGTAGATGTAGACACCTGTGATGGCATTCCACTGGGGGCTCGGCTGGACGCCCTCCACTGGGAACTCCTGCACCAGCTCCTTCTCCTCCTTGTCCAGTGCCACAAAGCCAAAGAACTGTTTCACATTCTTGGCTGCCAGGATCCTGGAGTGGACCTCGGCCGTGCGTCGGAAGAGCTTGTCCTCGTTGGAGCGGTACTGGGCCCAGTAGGCCTCCTGCCGGTAGCTCAGCGGCGAGCAGCAGTGCTTCAGGCACTTGGTGAGGAAAACCAGGACCGCAACAATGCCGATGAGCAGCCAGCCGAAGAGCTGGGAGAGAAGAGAGAGGCTGTGTTAGCACATGGCAAGGTGGCCTTACCCACTCCCTGTGGCTTTTTCCCTGGTGTGCCTACCTGGGACTCGTATCTCAACCTTCGTGTCACTTCGTCCCTGAACTTGGTGAGGTTTGCTGGGATGTCTCTGCAAGGGAACTTGGCCAGCACCTCGGCCCCGTACTCAGCTGGAAACTTGTCCAGGGAGGATGGTTTGATAAACTCGCTGAGGGCACAGATGTAAGCTTCCCCACGCAGCAGCGAGATGACCGACCAAGTGATGGGTGCCACGGATGCTCGGCCCATGATGGAGCCGAAGAGGAGGAAGGTGGCAGCAGCAGAAAAGTTCTTGGTGCCACGCTTGTGGCACTCGGCCACCAGGTTCCAAGTGTGGTTGTTCCAGATGACACCAATGAGGAAGAGGGCCAGGGCCGGGACACCGATGGCAGCCAGCCCATAGATGTAGTTGCGGGCAGGGGAGCAGGGGCAGTTGAATGCAACGACTGAGAAGAGCTCCTCACTCCCCACTGTGCCCAGTGCCACCAAACCATTGAAAATCATCACGTCTTTGCTCTTGAAGAACAAGGAGAGGAAGCGGAAGTTCTCAGCGATGAGGGCAGCCATCTCGTCTGGGGGCTGAGAGATGTGTGCTGCACTGGGGGCTGTGCTGGCTCAGCCCCCAGCACTAGGAACACTCCAGTGGGGGATGAAATGGCCTGATGCTAGCTGAGGTGCAAGGAGCTGTTCTAGGAGCAAGACACCTTCGTTGATGTCACTTCCTCCCTCTGGTGTCCCAGCCTCTAGAGCTGGCTGCTGATACCAGGGATACTTCAAAGAGGGGCTGAAAAGGGACTTTGCCTAAGCAATATGTGAAACCTCAGCTATTTGTTTCCTCCTAAGCCCTCCAAAAGCTTCACTACAGCAAAGATGACAGGTGGGGCATCTGCTTCTGTCCCTCTCAATTGCACATTTGTCCTCTTTCCTTGAGTTCGGTCTTAGTCACCTCTCACAGAGGCAATTATTGTCAGCATCACTGGCAAACTCTTGATAATCACCCAAACCTGCAATGGAAGAGGACACAATGTTACTGGGAAAACTAGACCAGAGCACTGGCACTAGGATGTGTCCCCAGCCCTGCCACTGACTCACACTAGCCCAGCAACATGTGGCACATGGGTGCTGGGGTTGTGCTGCTTTGAAGGTGCTCTGTGTGGCTTTTGCCTCCTTCTTTAGAGCTGATGAGTTAATACTTATTAATAGTCGCAGGTATGTGAGGAAGGCAGCAAGGGGTGCTGTGAGACATCCCAGCAGATTTGGGAGCACAGAACTGTGGCATGGGAGGCCCAGGCAGGAGCAACCTTTGCTGAGAAGGGTGAACGGATGCTTGGGTGCTGTTGCTACCAGCAAGAGAAGTTACTTTCTGGGAAATCTTATCCCGATGTCCCAGGATACAAACACCAAATGCTTATAAGAGCTGGGATATCAATTATGTGTGAGCATTTGCCAGGATTAGGTGGGCAGGATGATCTCCCATCCGGCAGCTGATTGACATAATTGTACCCCCTGTCCTGGCCTGCAGTCTCAGCTCAGCCTCTTAATTGCTGCCCTGAGACTGAGCCCCTCAACCTGCAGCCTCAGTGCCAGAGATGCTCTTTGGTGCCCTTTGCCTGTGTTATACCCTACTGACAGGGCTGCAGGCACTTGGGGCCAAGCAGGGAAAAGCATGTTCCCTGATTTATTTACGGGCAGGGAAATACCTGGGGAATGTATTCACACTCTCTGCAGCGATGTTCATTCCCCCATCCCATCTGCAAGCTGGATTCAAGTAATTTCTTAGCTGACTTTCCATCAGTGCTGCATCTGCGCAGGGTTTCTCCTCAGGAAGCCTCAAGCACCAATCAAGCTCTGGGTGCCCTCACCTCTGTGATGAAACCCGCTGGCCTCAGAGGAACTGCTGTCACCGGGGTTTGCTGGAGACAGGAAGAACCTGGGTGCCCAACCAACCATCTCTGGCAGCTTGCACAGTGCTGGCAGTGCCAGCACACATCTGGGGCTGTCTGGGAACCATGGTCCCCAGGGCTGCCTCAGAGTCTTTCCCGCGCCACCCCAACTGCAGGGACAAGACTTCAGAGACATTCGGGCAAAAGAGACAAAGATACTTTAATCCTTATGGTCTTTTGCACAAGGCTTGCTTTTACACTGTGTTTCAACTCTCTTTAAACCTCTGTTCATCTGCTGCCTCAACAAATCCTGGTTTACTCCCTTTCTCCATGGGGCAGGGGTGGGGAACAGGGACAGAAATTTTGCCTCTGTTTTTTGCTGTGTCTAATCCCTGGCAATCCCTCTAAAGTCACGTTGTGATATTGCTGAGTTCAAACGTAAACAGCCCTTAATGTCTTCCGGCAGCTTCCCAGTTTTCCATATGCAAAACTCCCTCTGCAAAGGAGACAGACCAGCCAAAAACTGCCACCATGTGATGGGGAGCCAGGCCTCCATCTCCATGCTTGGTGGAACTCCACGTTTGCAGCCAGATGCCAAGTCCACAAACTTGCTCTAGTTGAAGCATCTGTTGTTAGTTACCCACAAACAGCCCTGATAAACATGTCCCTGTAACCTTCCTGACAGAGCCTGGCAAATGGCAAAGCAAAAATCTGAGGAGCAAAGAGAAGTACTGGCCATTTAGAGGGTGCCCTTCCTCTGCTAGGTAGTTATGGTCTGGGAGAGAGGGTTGGGTAGAAGGGGAGGAGAGAAGTTGTTTGCAGCAGGTAAATTTTTAAGACCCTCTGTTTCTTTCCCCAAAATATATATAAAAGCAAGAAAGAATTAAGTCACTTACTTGAAAAAGTTGTTGAAACCAGTTCTGGAGCCTTTTCGGCCCTTCCTCTCTTTTTTTCGCTCAGGCTCTGGTTTTGGGGGGTTTCCAGCAGCACACAGGGCTGAGCAGGAGTTGGGATGCAGCCAAGGCTGGTCTGATGGGCGAAGTGGAAGCTTTTGAAAATAACCTTAACAGTTTGTGAAGGCTTCTTTATTCAGTTTGAAACATGGTCTCCGCTGTTGGCTTCTGGAAAGAGGGAGGAGGTTGTTCTGAGGCTCTGAGTTTGGGTGGGGCAAAAAGCAGGCGCTTGGCTTCTGCTCTGAGCACGGCTGAGGTTGTGCCTTTAAGAACAAAAAAAAAAAAAAAAAAAAAAAAAAAAAAAAAAAAAAAAAAAAAAAAAAAAAAAAAAAAAAAAAAGAGGAAATGAAAAGCTGAAAGAATGAGTCACTGGAAAAAGCACATCGTGCTTTCTCAGACTCATAGGCAGATGTGCAATGGCTGGCTGGATTGGTCGGGAGTTTGGCTGGAGAACGGCAGCGATGCGGCGCCTTGCAGGGGTGCGGAGGGGAAATGCAGGATCCCCCCAGCCTGGGTGCAGCCCCCATCGTCCCCCGCCATGCCGGTGGGGCCGCACCGGGCAGGCAGGACAGCGCGGGAGAAGCCCATGGTCCCACGAGAAGGGACAGAAACTTCTGTTCCAGCACATGGGAGCCGGCTGAGCAGCGGGAAGGCACCGCCTGGGTGGGTTTTGGGGCATCGCAAGCTCTGTGGGTGCCAGGTTCTGCTTCCCCCCAGGCGGGACCGAGCAGGCTGGGGGCTGAGCAGGGCTTGGCCGTGTGTGCAGGGCTGGGCACAGCCTGATTTTTTGGCGAGTGCGATGCATTCCTGCCTGGTTCTGCTTTTCCACTCGCTGCTTTCTCTGCTTGAGCGATGCCTGCGAGGCAGCCGAGAGCGCCTCATTTTTCTTTTCTCCCTCCTCTCCGCCATCTGTCCCTCAGCTCCAGCTCCTGCCCAGCCTGCTGAGGCCCCCATCCTCCTTCCCCACCCTCCTTGCCGTCTTATCCCTGGGGTTAAACTCAGCCCTCCCCAGAGACTGTCTTCAGCACAGGCAAATCTTCAGCGACACCCACATTTCCCTCCGCCCCGAGCAAATTTAGGCTCATCCCAGCGCCGGCAGTTCAGCCGATGGGCATTTTGGACCATCTTCCTTCCTACCCGCAGCTCTGGGGTCCCCGGGCGGGTTTTTGCAGCTCCCGGTTGTTTGGGTGCGGTGCAGCCCGCGGCGCTCCCACAGCCTCGGCGCTTGCCTGGGGCTGGCTCGGTGCTCAGAGCGCCGCAGCACGGCGGGGTCAGCGCCGGGACCGCAGCCTGCCCCGAATCCAGGGGCTCCGTCGGCTCCCTTGGGAACGCTCTCCTCCCAAAGGCCACGAGCAGCGTCCCCGGATTCCAGCACGGAGAGGAGAACCTGCCTGATCTAGGAGGACTCCGCACCTGCTCAACTTGCTGCACGGGGGTAAAGCTCTAATCCTAAAAATCTTAGTTAAAACGCCAAGGGCTTCTCATTGCAATGGTTATTTTGGCACCTTAATGGCTGTGCCATGGAGCCTGCCATCTCTCTGTGCTGCTCGCCATCGTGGGGGACTCTGAGCATGCCTTTCTCGCTGAGCCATGAACAGCACCAAACTGCAAATAATAGGAGTGGAAACCACCTTTATCTTTTAATCTCCTTTGCTTTGTAGATCAGGTTTTGTGCCTATTAATTTCTGGGCAGGTGCATTAATTAAAGTTTGGGTGTGAAGATTAATGACAAAGCTGTGTCATGCTCCTTTCTCCTGGGAGTTGGCCAGATTCAGCCTGCCCTTGACTATGGGCTTGCTAAGATGCTCTCAAAGCAGCCAGGAGGATTTCCTCATCACTTTGGTCCTTTGTTCTCCTCTCCCCAAAGCCTCTGTGGAGTTACACAGTGATAATTAAGGTTTATGCAAATGACAGTCACCTCAGTTACTCATAATAAGTTGTTTGAACAAGAACACCACAGCAGAAATTTCAAGTGGATAAACATCTCAGAAGGGACTTGGCAGGGCTAAAATTCATCCCTCAAAAGGGGTTTGCCTTCTGCCTATTTGTAATAAAATCAGGGCCACTGGGAAACACTCTTCTGGGCTGTGATTTCCATGGTCACCTCAAGGGCCTGCATCCTGTCATCCTCTGTTTCTCTGGAATGGGCTGCCACCTTGTATTATGGAATGTTGGCAGTGACTTCCCAGCTTCTCCTCTGAGGGCCACGACTGGCTGCTGCTGGTGGCCATGCACTGGCAAAACTCTTCAAGTCACACAGCCTCAGAACCTCAGGCTTGGCCTGGGAGCTCTTCCAGTCCTTTTCATTCATCCAAATAAAGAAACACCAACAGCTTTTGTAAATGGCTTTTATAAATCCTGGTGTTTGAACACAGAGCTTAAATGGTAAGCCTGAATTATTTATTTGGCTCCTTAAACAAACACCCAGGTGGGTTTTTAACATCAGTCTTTGTCTCAGGGAGAGATACAGGAAAAATTGTAAGAACAAATCATCCTGAGGAAGATTTGTGGCAAGGTGTTGGTCTGGCTCCCTCTCCACTCCCTGCTGCTGAATGCTAGCTGCTCTCCTTGTCTGACACTTCCCTGAAGGAGCATCTCTTTGCAAAACTCATTTAATGGTACTTGTAACAGCAACCACGCTGTTTCTGTCACATGTAGTGCGATACATGTCTCTTTACTAACTCATTGCTTTGGTCAAATTTATTTTAAGGCTCTTCTTGGCTTTGGGAGC